TGTACCACCTCTTCATTCATTTATGTAAACGCTTTCTTGTATAAGATTTGTCTTCCTTCTAGAGTTTTCCTTGTGGAAACATCAGACTTAAAGGTTGTACTGTTCTGCTGAACTGTTCTCTTCCAAGTCAGAAAAGGACACAGGGATTGTGGGTTGCACTGAAGCTCACACACAGGAACAGTCCTTTATAAAGGTGGCTGCCTATGGCTACTTTTGCATCAGTTGGGAAAACTGACATAATACACACACTCAGCCAAATGGCAATGTTTGGTCTACCGTATATAATAAGCATATAAATAATTTACTGAAGTTATCCCTTGGGTTTCATTTGAGCCCACTGTTTATATCTTTTGAAATTCCACCTTTGTTTGTTTAAAAAATTTAAGACAATAAACTAAAACATAGGAATAAAGTAGGACACCTCACTGGGGCTTTGGGTGATAGACTCCCCTAGTGCCCTGCACAGGTGCACATATAATACACTCATGTGTGCCCCCACCGCAGTGTTTTTCTTTATCTGTTCAGTGACACAAACACATTTTCCTTTGCTTTGAGCAGAAAAACACCTTTCAGACTTAGGAGACAAAATCCTCTGTAGTTGCTGCCAAATGGCATTATCTTGATCCACAAAGTCATGTAGGCAGGCGATTTCATCTTGTCAAGAGTCCAGGACCACCTGCAACTCACACATGAAAGTCTGTGAGCGTGGCACAGGATTGACTGGATCTTATTCTTAATAAAACGTTTTGTATTCCCCCTTTCCATTCTGGAAACAAAGCTAGAAAACGTAGACCTAATGTTATGTTGGGCAATAATGCAGATTTGTTATTCGAAAGGAAGAAAGGAAGGAAGGAAGGAAGGAAGGAAGGAAGGAAGGAAGGAAGGAAGGAAGGAAGGAAGGAAGTTCACAAGCCCTGCTAGAGCCAGCTGACCCAATGACCCCCCCAACAAAATCTAATCTGAGTTATGGACACAGCATACAGACAGGGATAATGCATTTGTTTCTCTTTTTAAAATGTGCAATCTTTTTTGCAATGATATTCCTTATTTAGCCTTTTATCTTGTTTATATCTTTAATGTGTTTTCAAAGTAAGGATTTTTAAAAAGCTTTAAGCATAAAAATTTTTAATTTAGTTCTAAAGTCATTACTCTTTGAAATGAAGGCATGGCTTGCTTTTGGAAGGTTTATTTACCAGATTGTATAGTTCATGACATCATTTCTGGAATCCTGACAAATTTCTTTGGGTATATTTTTTTTTTAGGTATTTGAAGAAATGATTTTATCATTCTCTGAAAGCTTTGAATTTGGCAAATTGGAAAAATTGTCATTCTTTAATACATTCATATCTGGTTTAAATCCAAAATTAAGCCTGTGGATGCTGTCATCATGAAAAAAAGAATTTTATTGAAGTTGAGAAAATCAATTTCCTGGAGATGATGTTCACTTACTAGGAAAACCCATCGATATTCCTATATAAAATGCTGTTTTGTAATTTAATGCAATGGATGATAGCTACAATAAATTTAGAATTGAGCCAATAAAATGAACTTTTTAAAAACCACCTTTTCTGCATGGAAACAAGGCAATGCTTTGTCCTGTAAACTATAGGACATAATATTGACTATCATCAATATACTTCATATTGATACATATGCTTTCTCCATGGTCTGGCAATGCTACTCCAGCTTTTAAAGAGTGATCTGTCTTATGATATAGTTTAGAGAGGCAGCATCAGTGACTCAGAAGGACAGCATCAATGGCCTAGGTCCCTCTGGCCTGATTTTTCCTTTCTTATCAGATGAAAGTACCATGGGAATGACTGTCTGCTGTGAAAGTTTCACATTGGCCAACAATGAGCTTGGGACCCTGATGCTACTGAAGCTTACCCAAGATGCTAAGACTTCAGAGCCATCTCCCAACCCTTTAATCTTGGTGGCCTCCTTCCTAGGCTCAGAGTTCCTGGGCATAAGTAGGAAGACACTAAGGAGGGAGGTCACAGAGATAATTGTACTGCTAGTTGATTTTTTTGGTCCATGTGCCCAGGGGTCCCAGGCAGCAAGTAGCAAGCCTTTTGAGTGGGAATAGAAGGTGAATCCCTGTCACACTCCCTGGGAAAGGCTTGATCTGCTCTCAGAAAGAAGCCTTGTATCTGCCATCAGGGATGCCCAGCGAGGTCCATGACACTGCTCAGAACTTCTTTTTGCTTCATATCTGTCCGGAGCTCAGAGACCGGGACCCAGACTCACCTTCTTCAGCACCTAGAACATAAGCCAACCTCTCTTTTCTGGTTTTCCTTAGTGTTGTCCTACAGGTCTTCCTGGGTGGGACAATTTTTCTATTTCTTTTTCTCAGACTTCTACATTTCACTTTTATGAAGCTTAGCTTATTTTGGAATGATTGCAGTTAAAGAGAAAGTGGAACAGTGTATACCGTTCTGCAAAGCATCCATTCAAACATGCCTGTTCTCCGCAAAAGCTATATCACAGATAAGCCAGAGTTTCCTGAACTGCCAGTGGCTTCTCTCCAGCTTAGAAGATCTCAAAGTGCACCTCTGTAGCAGATGCCACTGAGTCTACAAATAGGGAAGTGTCCACAGTGACAGCCAAAAACTACTGAGTAGCATTCCCTTTGTGTTTGAGAGAGGTCTTGAGGAAGAGTCAAGTGTTCCTGCCAGACAGAAAATCTGGGTCTCACAGGGATCTCAATGACCACTCAGCCTCCGGCTGTGCTCTAGACCAGCAAAAGTCTCAGGAATCCTATTTGGGAGAGGCACTCTTTACAGGGACATGGAAGGGGACAGCAACAGGTACACAACCCTGTGTGTCTGGAGTGTACAGCAACCCTTGTGGCTCGACACCCCAAGCTGGATACTCTCAATGGCTCTCAATGCCCACCTGTGAAATGGGTAGCTATAGTCAGCTAAATGGCCCACAGAGTCCTCCGGGTCCACATACTGTTTGCAGAGATTATTTTGGGCCATATACACATCCATATTTGTGTCCTTTTCTCAGTTCATCAAATGGCTTGTATAATGTTGTGTGGAAAGTTATAGCAAGGTAGATGCATTAGAACTAGACCAGGGAATCAGGAAAAGAAATGGGCTAGACTTCTGCCATTCCTCATGGCAGAACTGTACAGGAGAAGGAGAGTAGCAAGACAAAACACTGTGGCCACACTAGTGATGCAGACTTGGTGCGAGATGACAGCTGGCAAACCGGCTGAAATTCAAACCAGACTTGATAAATCCCTCTCTATAAATTGGCTATGATGATCTTTGTGAAGACTTCATAAAAGGGACAGAACACTTCCACTTAGTATTTTTATCTCTGTTTTGGTTCACAAGTGAGAAGTTAAAAGGAAAAGAAAAGGTGCTAGACACAACTCTGTAATCCCAACATCAAGTTGCTGAGGCAGGAAGATTGCAGCAAGTTTGAGGACAATCTGGGCTACATAATACATTCAAGGTCAGGCTAAACTACCTGGTGAAACCCTGTCTCAAGAAAAACAAAAAACCCAGAACCCAACTCACACTTTTGCGTTATTAGTACAGTGACAGCAATTATATTTTCCTCTAGGGTTTCTTGCCATGTCTGTCAGGTCACATCGGTCACAACGGTGGTTTCTCCTTAGCTTATGTTGCTTAACTCTGCGTGGACAGCCACCACCCTGCCCTTCCCCATTCTCTATGCATGTTCAGCACCACATGTGCCCTCAAAGAGACGGCTATCTAGGAAGTCCTTTGACTCACCCTCCCCATCCTCCCCACCTCCAATCCCATCCCCAGCCTTTCCAAAGAGACCCTGATGAGCCACACTTTCCGGTATCACACTCTTGTGTAATCCATCCCTTCAATCCTGGCTGGCCCTGGGACTCGGCCTTGATGTGTAGTATGTGGAAGAAATGACTTGGTGTCATTTCAGAGAATACTTTGACAAATCTGGATTCTTGCAATACTAGTTCTGGAGATGCCAAATGAGTTCTAAAAAATCTATCTTGAGACCACTGTGTTGTGAGGAAGCCCAAACTTTCCATGTATAAAGAAATGCCCAGCCCTTCCCCAGCTATTCCAGTCACTCCATCTGAGGAGCCAGAATGACACCGAGATGATGCCAGCTTCAGCTTCAGGCACTATCTGGCAGCAGCCGTGCGACTCCAGGAGTGAGCAGTCATTTAAGCCCAGTCAACCACGTAAACAAGAGAGACAATAAATTTCTTTCTTTTTTTTTTTTTTTTAAAGTAAGATCTTACCACATAGTTCAGTTGGGCCTGAAACTTACTATACAGCCCATACCAGTCTGGAATTCACGGTGATTATCCTTCCTCAGCCTCCCCAGTGCTGGGATGGCTGGTGTATGTTAATAAATTTTATACAAATCATCATGTTTTTTTAAAAAAAACAAATTATGTTTTGCAGTGGTTTGTTACACAGCAATAGAAACACCTTCCACTGCAGGACAAGATAACAAGAAAAACAGCAAGCCATTTTCTTTATCTTTTGTTGGCCGTCCTGTCTTAAGTGTAAAAGAATGACTTTCTTCTCTTCGTGGGACTTCTGAATGGCTTCTGAAGGCTAAATCATAGCTTGGAGTTAGGATTGTTAAGAGAGTTTTGAAAGCATCCACACTGTAGAAATCTTTTCTTTTCCCTCCTTTTTTCTGACTGGTACCCCTCACATAACAGTATATTTCCTAGACATTATACTGCCTGAGAGATCCGCCCACGTTACAGGCCAGAAAGGTGTTCTGGTAGCAACACGCAGCCAGGACAGATCTCAAAGATGATGGCAGTGAATGGAGGAGAATCAGTGCCAGGAAGGTGGAGGAACACCTGCTCTCTTCTTTCTTGGCGCCAGCTCTCCCCAACGGCTCTTCCTAAGATCAAATTAAGGTGTTCTCTTTCTATTGTCATTTCCGTTTTTTTCCCAAGATACTTTAGTGTCTTTCTTTGTCTTTCAAAAGATACTGGAGAATTCTCTTCCCCCAAGTTCAATGACACAAGGTTTGAGTTTTCAAAAGAAACATTTACTAGGAACTAAAGGGCAACCAAACAGAATGCAAGAGAACACAGGCAGAGGTACAGATAGGCAGAAGGTGTTCACATTTATAACCAGCCTCTGGCCACACCTGTACAGCTAGCTAAAGCTTTCCAAACACAAAGCCACTTGCCTGCTACATGGACAGTGCTCTTTGCTGAACTGTCTCCACTGAGTCACGCTGTATTCATTCCAACAAGCCAATAACATATTCTTTAGTACCCCAAGGCTGCATATATGAGCAGCAAGATCCTGAGACAGGATCAATAGGCACAGTGGCCTCAGGACCTTCAACCCAGGCTCCCACTGCCAAGGGCAGGTCAGTGTTGAATGGGATGGCTGCCTGCTACTATCTACGAGGCCCATCTGGTTCGTTCGGGGACATTCTTCTGGGATCTTCTGCCTGGATCTAGTGACAATCTTTCTGCTCACTATCCTGCTGGCATTAACCCTTCATGCTTTGGTTCTAAAAACTGTTATGGTGGAGGATGTCTGAATGGGAGGGATAGGCAGAGGGAAACCTCGGTAAAGAAACCTGAATTTTTCTCACGTCATCAGACACAAGCAGAACTTGGATTCCTTTTGAATCCTCATGGTCAAAAGCCAGTAAGAGATGGAAATGATTAGACAGGCCAGGGAATGCATGAAGCTGGTATATAATAATACTGCCTCACTTAACAAAAGGCCTCCACCCTTTTTAGATCTGACATCAAGGTAGAGTTTCTTTCTTTTCTTTTTTTCCTGTGCAAAAATATGGAACGCTTCACGAGTTTGTGTGTCATCCTTGGGCCATGCTAATCTTCTCTGTATCATTCCAATTTTAGTGTATGTGCTGCTGAAGTGAACACCAGGGTAGAGTTTCCTATGCTAGGCAGATGTGGCACCCACAACTTTCTGATAACATCCAAAGATCCTGTTTCCACTCAGTCTCATATTAAAATGTTAACTCAAATGAATATAACGAGCTTTCTAAGAAAGTAAACCACAATTCAACTCTGGATTCCACAGTAAAGAAATTGTATGAAATGTTATCTTGGAATACAGATGTAAATGTGTGGAGGGGGTGTCTTGTACCATAATAGGACAAAGAGGGGACCACCAGGAAACAGCCCCTGGCCCTCTGAGGATATGCTGAAGCCTTTGGTTTCAGTTTTGTGGAGGCAGAAACAGTGAAGACGAGGTGCATAGCTGGCAGTAAATTGGCAGGAGGGAAATGAGTAATGAATGAGCTACCCAGGGAGAGCCCTTGACCTTCACTTTTGTAGTATCTCCATTCCCCAAGTGCTATGGAAGGGACACGTCTGCATTGAGAAGAAAACCTCTGTGCGTGGCTGCCTGAGCCTAGACTCTGGGCTGTTGCATATGGAAATATCTGAAAAGGCACATAGGCCAAGAAGGCCCCCAAACTGTGCCTTTCCTTCAAGGGACCCTGTCTGGTCTTTGTGATCTCATCTGACACCATGCTAAACCTATTTGTGGGGCTCTTCCCTCAATGAAAAATGTGCTTGGGAAAGGGTATTCCAGAATACATACTCCATTGAGAGTTAAACCTCTCTAGTGGGGATGGACAGTAAATTTAATTCTAATAACACCAGTTGAAAGGAAGTGGCTACTGGCAACCTACAAAATAATGATGTTCTAGAATCTCAAAATTCAGAATCTGGTTTTAGCAGAGAAAAGAACCATGGTCAACCGGTACTCTGTATGTGCACAGAAGGGGGCAGTGAATTTGCTGTGAACTAACCCTCCTTGCACTGCAGTTTCTCAGGGGAATGGCCTGCTTGTCCTATTATTCTCTTGGGGTTATTCCTTGTGAAGCTGTAGCACTTCTTGGGGTGAAACTATTCTCTGAAGACAGCCATTAGCTCAAAGGTAGTGGAATTTGAATTGAGATTTGCTGCCTATTTAGCACCCGGATATATTTTTAAATGTTCTAACCTTCCAGGGCATTCAAACAAGTAACTTCATGTTAGAATGACCACAGCCAGGGCAGGCGCCATGTCCCCATTACCAAGGGCCTTATATGAATCACTAAGAATCCTGGTCCTCTTGGGACTCTCACTACGTCACTTGCTTTCTTCCACAGTCCAATCTTGTTTCTTGGCAATGAGATGAGTTTCCCCCTATAACACATCACCTTGGGCCCCCTGAGGAAAGTGGCTGGACCATTCAGGTTCACCAAACCGAATTTGGAATGAGGGCCAGTTATTGCTGTGGTTACAGCTGAGCATTTGGTCGCTGGAGTTGTCTGGGTGTCGCTGGATGGAAAAAGTTACTTAAGATCACTGTGAGATGGTTGTCCTACTGTGTCCTTGGCACAAGCTGTCCTCTTATCCATAGTCATCGTTTCTGTAGGAAAAAGAAACAAAAACAGTGATTTTTTTTCACTGCACATTTTTAATATGCACCAAACAAGCGTCAGTACTGCAATGGATGCTGGGGAATGTAACAGACCATAAGTGGGATGCTTGCCCTAATTTCAAAGAGCTTCCAGAGGGATAGGTGAATAACAGAGGTGTAAATGACTGATGTGGAAACCTTTGAGGAGGCTGAGGAGGCCTACTGGGAGAATTTTGAAGGATAAGTCTTGAGTTGGTCTATTTAGGCTTAAGAGGAGCCCGTCAGGTGAGAATGAAGGAAGCCACTGTATGCAAAGGAAAGACCATGCAAAAGGCAGGAAAGAGCAGGATGCACTAGAGGGATTTTCAGGAAAGAGGTGACTGGACTATAGATTCAGGAGTGGGCTGGTAGCAAATAAGACTAGACTGGAGAAAAGGGGCAAGAATGGCACAGTATCACAACTTGCTTCCAAGCTGTGAATGGTGGGCTTTCTTAATGGAGCTGCAGACTTAAGATTTGCAGATTTTCAGATACTGTAAATTAGCACAAGCAGTTCAGCATTCAACTGAAATTCCACTCAGGGTGTTTTACAGTAGAGACTATGGATACTAATGCGTCACCCATCAAAAGAAAACTGAAGTCACCTCCATGATGAAGTAATAATAAAAAAAATTACACTAAACTATAAAAGGCAGAAAACATTTTCAAACTGAAACATATGAACTATTTTAGAAGTGAAAAGCTTGCAAGTGAGGCAATCCTTCTAGGACATTAAGTAAAATAATAAAAGCTGGGGCATACACAGTAGAAGAGAAAACATATCTGATTGTGGCCCTTAGCTTTGAAATGTGTGCATGTGGGTAAGCACACATACCCATCCCTGAAAAAAAAATGGATGTTTGTTCTGAGTCTAGCAGGAAAGGATGAACAGATATTTGTTTTCATATTGTGATTCATATTTAAAATTCTTAGGCTAGAAGCTACCCTGGAATGTCTTCCAAAGGCTCTACTTTCTAGATCTTGACTCACAGCAGGCTCTGGGTCTCCTAGCCCCTTGCTGAGCTGTATCCTGTGACCTATCCTTGAAAGCCCCAATTGCCAGAGCCGAGGTCGTTCCCAATTAGGGAAGGCAAGGTCTCAGTAGGGCCAGCCCCACCAATGAATGTGATCTGGAATTAGTTGTACTATTATCAAGGGGACCATATGCCACTTTCTTTAATTTGAATACTCGTTGTATGCTAGGCACTAGGTTACAAATTTTACACACATTTAAATGAATGCTGTCAGTTTCCTTACTAGAAGATGCAGTGATGAGAGATTGGTTTACACAAGGCCACACTGTGACTAAGTGAAGGAGGTTCGATGCATCTCTAGAGCAGTGGATCATCTCTACCAATGGTCTTTAAATAGAATCTTGTTGGGAGCAAACATTCTAGGGAAACTTGGGCAGGCAAATCGGGTCTGAAAAAGAGGCTCAGTTGTCTCAGAAGAAGGGCAATTGAGTATGGCTTGAATAAATCATGCTGCTACTCACCACCTTTTTGTCTTTTGGGACTAAGAGTGAAAAAAACAGTGGCATTTTTTTTTTTCTGTTTTTCTTTTTCGTTTTTATCGGTACCAGGGATCGAACTCACGACTGCCTGCTTGCAAGTCAGGCTCTTATGCCGCTGAGCTAAATCCCCAACCCCGAGTGAAAAAAACAGAACCAAATAAAACAAAGCAAACATATCACATCTTTCCAACTCTTCAACCTATTAAGTTGTTCAGCCAACATTTTTATAAATGCGGAATGAAGGAAGATTTTTTTATAGTTCAGAAGAGTGTTGAACAAGCGGAGATTGGATGGAGACTGTGGCCTCAACACCAGAGTCAGTGCTGGGGGTTTAAGCACCGTGGCCCTAACGTCAGTTGAACTTGCTCCAGGCTTGTTGCACTGGGCAACAAGTTACAGGCCCCCTGGGCTCCCAGGCAGTATCACGGGTTTGGAAGGTACCAGCAACTTCAGCAGCATCAATAGGAAGTAGTGATTCTAATCCTGTTTGAACAGGGGATTGTAAGTGAATTCAGTTGTACTGAGACATAAGGATTTGATTGGAATGAAATCAAATTGAAACCAAAGATGAGAACTGTCTCAAGAAAAACTGTAATGTATAGTGACATTCCAATCACAAAAATGACAGCTGACGTGAGACAGGCCATTGAAACTGATCTCAAATTAAGAAAATGAAAAGATGAGTGGAACATTGTATGCTACCTCCCTGTGAATTTAAAAAATGGACTTTGATTACAGGAAGTATCTAAGGGCATTGAGTTACAAAGCTTGTCAAGATCGGAAGTGATTCATATTACATGACTCAATCTTATATGTACTTAACACTTATGTTTTAGAATTTTATTTAAAAAGCACAAAATTTTAGGGCTTTGGGAACCATTTATTGTTTAGTACAGCTTTGCAAATGTGTACATGAAAAAACATCACATTGGGCCCATTTACAATTTGATTAGCTTCTCCCTTTTCCCAATGAGGGCATTTTACATTTTTGCTCCTTCTCTCTCTCTTCTCTCTCTCTCTCCCTCCCTCCCTCCTCTTTAAGAACTCAGTATGGTGGAGAAATAAGACATGTCAATATAAGTATACTATCAATCAGGAGACTGCAACAATAGCATAGAAAATGAGTTTGCTTGTGTAACAACTATTTATTGACCACTCACTCACCTGGCCCTAGCCTAAGAGGGTCACATACTTATGTCAATCATTCCCTGTGATAGATTTACATCTTAATAGGCAAGGTAACCAAATATAAGCAAAGCCAATTAATAAAGGCAGTAGGTGCCAGACCACCTTGGTGTCATGCCTTTATGGATCGAAATGTAGGCCCAGAATGGCAAATTATTGTGCTGTGCATGGCAGCTCCACAATAGAACCTTTGCAAAGGAGTCTCAGTCTAGAAAAGAATTGTGACTAGTTTAGACTGTGGAGAGGGGTGTTACAATCCATGTCAAGTGAGCCTTGAGGAAGAAGGTCACAGATGATGGCATGTGTGACATGGACAATGGTGTTTACTGAGAAAGGTTCATTTCATCCAATCTAGAAACAATAGCTCCAGTGAAGGCACCATTTGGAAGAGAAGTTGATTCTTTCAGATGAAGAAGTATGATAAGGAATTACTACAAGACAAAGAGTCCAGATGAAGTTAAGTGGAAGATATTGGAACTTGTTACACTACATTCACATTTGTTTATTGATTTATTAATACAGTCGACATGTACTGAGCATCTGCTGTTTGTGTTGAGCATCAGGAACACAAATGGTGCGCGACGCACAGCCTACTTTTGAGTGGTTCACAGTTATCAACAGAGGACAACAGAATCAAGGATGATGGGAAGAGACTGAAGCAGTCTCAGCTGGGAATTTGAGTATAGCTGCTTTGTGTGTGCATAATTCTAATTACCCAAATTAGGGAATAAAAGGGACAAATATAATTAACCTTGTCCTGTTCCACATCTGTGCAGTCATTTTACCTATGCAATGATGGACTTAAATTCCTGAATGACCTTTGTAATCTCAATTATTTTTGAGAATCTAAACTGATAATTCTGTCCCTACTAATTGAAATGGTAACACTGTAACACCAGAAAGGTAAAACAAATATGATGAAGTAATGATGCTTTATTTTTTTCTAGTCTTGCTAGGTAATTCAGGCCGGCCTCGAATTCACAGTGATCTTCCAGCCTCAGTCTCCTAAGTGCTGAGATTACAGGCATGTGCCACCATGTTTGGCAAGGTAATGAGGCTTTTGTGTTATATTTATTCAAGTGCAATACACATTTTGTTATCCTCCTTCTGCACTGTTTTATGCAGTTAAGCTAAATGTTTAACAATATGATATACCAGAAAATCATTAAATTTATGAATTTAATTGTATATTCGGGCGAACTTAATTAGTTAAATCTATAGTCAACACTTAAATACTTAGAAAAATCTACTGTACTAAGTGGATAAAGTTGATTTTTAAGATACAGAAATGCTTAATTTTTAACATTGTAATGCTTAAATGCGTGGGAATAAGTCTGTATAATATTTACTGAGTTTGACATTTGAAGTATTTGATATAATGAGCTTTTAAGTTTGTGACTTTAGTTTGAAATAAGGAAAATTTAGCTAATTAATTGCCTAAAAACTACTTATTTAGGGAATTTTATTTGCCAGATTTATAAGGTTTTAAAAATTTATTTCAAAATAATTAAGGGGACTTTATTAAATATAAAATTGGTGTTTAGAAATTTGGGAAGATTACATTAATGATCGAATTTAGAAATAAAACCAGTTGCTGGGCATGGTGGTGCATGCCTATAACCCCGATACCTCGGAGGCTGAGGTAGGAGGATTATCACAAGTTTGAGGCTGACTCGGGCTACATAGTGAGTTCAAGGCCTGCCTGAACAACATGGCAAGACCCTAACTCAAAAAACAAAAAACAAAATGAAGCAAAAGGATTAAAATAAGTTAAAAAATGAGTGTTTTAATTTCAAAACAAAATGAAGAGATTTACAATTATTATAATTGCTAACACTGCACAACGCTTGGTATGAACTGTTTTAAGAATATTACAAACATTAATTTATTCTTTACTACAACTCTGAGGCAGGTATTGTTACTTTTCTCTATTTTACCTATGCATGAAACTGAGGTCAAGAGATATTAAATGACTGCTTTACTAAATGCATTAGTTTCTTAGGCTTGCCATAACTAACTACCACAAAATATACAGTTTAGAGTGACAGAAGTTCTTTTGCAGTTCTGGAGACCAGCATCTGAAATTAAGGTTTTGGTGGTCCACGGTCCATCCAAAGGTTTCATTCCAATTTCTACCCCGTTGTCAGGTGGTATTCCCCTTGCCTGTCTCTCAGTGTATCCAGGATATTAGTTACTGGATTTAGGATCTATCCTAACTCAGTGTGACTCCATCTTAATTACATATATCTGCAAAGACCTTATTTTCCAATTA